CGAGACAGCAAGAGTTTCAAGACAAATGTTGTGAGAATCGGAATGCAGTCCTGGAAAATGTTCTCAGGGCCGAAGTTCTCGATGGCGGCAATGGTTGTGGCTTGGAAGAATTAAAGGTTTTTGAGTTTTAGGGCATCAAGGTGTCTGTGGGTTTTATTAGTTATCAGATGAAGTATGTTTTTGAGGAAAACTTTCTTTGATCTAGGCTGCCGAGGCAGACTCTAGACTCTACTGCACTCGATTCCAGGGCTTGCAAACGAAGCACGTGGATCCAGGATGGCACCAAAGCAGAAGTATTGGTTAATTTCGTGTCTGAGACTGGGTTCAGGATGTTTTGTTTGATCCTACTCAGGATTTTATGTTTGAGCCCAGCTAGAATCGCGCACAGCTCACACACAATCAGCGAAGCATGCATGCAGCTCACAGACAATCGTGCTTGATTGATCGAAAATTGTTTTGATCACAGGCCCTGCTCCTCGAAGGCCATCCAGGTCTTTTTCTCTATCCAGCCCTCGCAGGTACCGGCGCTTCGTCCTCCGATTCATCAAACACAGCCTCGCGGTTGAAGAGATACCACCGCAAATCGCTGTGCAGCCACCAGTGAGCAGCTTGCAATGCAGATCTGTCACTAGGTGACAGGAACTCCCAGAGAGTCGCAGCCGCTTCCGCAATCAAGAAGAGATCCCTAGCATAACGACCCGTTTCTTCTGCTGCCATGTATGTCCCCTGGCGGCGCCCGAGGCAGCCAGACCTAGGGGCAGCTTCGAGCCTGCGCCTCATGCATGCAAGCTCATTGCACACACTCACCCAAGCAGCTGACGGTTGTTTTCGGCAGGGGTCGCTCCCCTGGGATCACAGTGAAACAGCCTGAACTCGGAAGAATCTGATGAGTGACGCAGCTGCACCAATCGGAAAATCGTGCCGCTGTGAGCATGAAATTTCAGGAGCATATGAACAAGCACTGGACAGGTACCGGATGCCGTAGCTATGTGGAGCTAACCGAACCTGTTCCAGCCAATCTCGGGAAGAAGCTGCCAGGATTATCACTTGCCTCACGTCACAGGTACGGAAGTGAAGGTCCACATCGGCTCTGGTCCCACGAACGTGCGTCAGCTGGCTCGTGTGCCTGACGCCACGCATTAAGTCGGCGATTTCCGCAAGTCCCCGAGAGATGCGATCGTCCTCGTCCAGGCCCTCGGAGGACCCGTCGTCGCCGTCATCCCATCCAAACCAGCGGTGATGGTACAGGGTGCACACGAAGTGAACATGGCTGTCCTGCACGAACTCGAAGATCAGCTGGGTTACCGAGGCAATTTGCCAGACCGAGGACATGGCAAGAGGCAGGATGAAGGAGCAAGCTATAGCTCGAGCTGAAAACGCGGGATCAAGCAAGCAACATTCGAGCAACACCAGTAATTCACTCCCAAGCGACAAGCGATCTGGTCGACCAAGCTAGCTCAAGAAACATGCAGTCAGAGTCGAC